CCCCCCCAGACCTCCCCAATCCCCCCGAACCCCCCCAGCAGCCCCGGCCCAGGTGGTTTTTTCCCGGGAATTCGATCCCCGGCTCGGAAGCGGCTCCGGGCCCGGCTGAGCTCGGCCAGCGCCGGCCGCCCCCGCCTTGGAGCATTCCCAGATTTCTGCTGGAAGCGGCAGCCGGGACCCCGTGGAATTCCTGCCCTCCGGCCCCCGATAAAATCCGGAGTTTTGGAATTGCGGGGTCGCTGTGCCGGGGTTTGTCCATCCCGGATCCTTCTCCTCTCTTCCCCACGGGCAGAGAATTCCCGAGGGTTTCCCGGATTGTTTGAATCCCACCCGGCGCCCCCGAGCTCCCAGGGCCGGGAGGGGTTGGGAACCCGGGAAGAGTCCCCGGCCCTGAGCCCTTTTCATCCCGGGATTTCTCCCCTGATCCCGGCGGGAATGGGCCGGGATGGGCTCCGGATCTCCAGGGATCCGTCCCCTCCTCCAGGGGTGCCGGACAGGCAGGAAAATGGGAATTTCTCCCCCCGAGGGTTTTGGGTTGGAGGCTCCGGGCTTGGATCAGCCGCGGGCCCCGGCGCCAGGGGAGGAGTTCTGGGAAAATTCAAGCTTTGTTTGGGAAAAAAACCAACATTTTCCGCTCAGAGCTCAGGGAAAGGCTCAGGGTCCAAGGCTCATCCCTGCACAAACAATCCTGGCACGGCTCTGCCTTCCCTGGGATTGCTCCTCGCCCCCCGAACGCCTCCCTGGTTGTTTTCAGGGAATTCTATTCCCTAAAACAGGGTGGGAAGGGAAACCGGAGCCGCGGGGCTCCTCAGCCGCAGCATTCCCAGCCCGGATCCCGCTGGGATCTCCCCAAGCCAAGTCCTTCCCTCCCCCAGAAAACCAAAGGAGAGGAACCCGAAGGCTCCGGGGGTGCTCCCGATCTTTCCCGGGATAAACAGGATTTCCCCGCAGGGTGGGATTTATCCCGGGAAAGGCTGGGAGTGGGCTCGGATTCTCTCCCTCGGCAGGAAGGGCTCGCTGGGCTCCCCCTCCCCCTTTATTTGGGGATAATTCCCGCGGGAGCGGCGTTGTTGGATGTTTTGGGATCCAGGAAAGCAGCCCGGGCTGCTCCAGAGGCGAAACCGAAGCGGTTTTTTGGAGGAATCTGCGTTATCCACACAAAAATCCGGGATCCTGCCCGGCTGGGAGCGCCCATCGCTCTTAATGAGCCCCAGGATTAATTAATGACCTCCCCCCCCCGCAGCTGGCAGGGATTGAGGGATGAGATTCCCATTCCTGCCGAGCTTCCTTTAAATATTTGTGATTGAAATCCCGGCAGCTCCTCCAGGCCTGGGGGGATTTGGGGATTTGGGGATTCGGAGCCCCGCGGAGCTCAGGGAACATCGGGATGTGCCCCTTCCTCCTGCAGGGCACGAGCCATCCCAAAAAATCCACCGGGATCCCCTGGAATGCGCCTGGGATGCGTCCCCCGCCAGGCTGAGCTGGCCCAGGGTCCGTTCCCAGAGGAAAACCACGGAATTCCAGGGTGGTTTGGGGTGGAAGGGCCTTAAATCCCATCCCATTCCAGCCAGGAATTCCAGGGACACCTCCCGCTGCTCCCAGCCCCGTCCAGCCCGGCCCTGGGCGCTTCCAGGGATGGGGGAGATTCCCGGAGCGTCCTGCCAGGAATAACTGAGCTCCCAAACCTCTCCTGCAGGAATTCCCAAACCTCTCCTGCAGGAATTCCCAAACCTCTCCCGCCCCCAGGAATTCCCAAACCTCTCCTGCCCCCAGGAATTCCCAAACCTCTCCTGCCCCCAGGAATTCCCAAACCTCTCCTGCAGGAATTCCCAAACCTCTCCTGCAGGAATTCCCAAACATCTCCCGCCCCCAGGAATTCCCAAACCTCTCCCACCCCCAGGAATTCTCCGTTCCGGCCGGTTCCGTCTCTCCCGTCTCCTCCCATCCCCAATTCTGGAGCTCCGCGTGAGGAAAGCGCTCCCCAAACCCAGAGTCAGGAATGGGGAGCGGCTCTGGGGCTCTCCGGATCCTCTCCGCTCCCCCTTTTCCTCCTTTCCCGGTTCTCATCCCGGGCTTCCCGGCAGGGCTGAGCCCCCCCCGCTCCCGGCTCCTCTTCCCAGCGCCGGGCCCCGCTAGAGGGCAACAGAAAACCGGGAAAAAGCTCTGGGAAAGGGCCTGGCAGCAGAAAACGGGGAAAAAGCTCTGGGAAAGGGCCTGGCAGCACCGCCAGGGCTCCCCGCGCTTCGGCTTCCGCATCAACGGAGCCCAAAATCCCCGCAGGTGCTGCCCCGGAGCCCGGGCCGCTTCCCGAGGGTGCGGGACCCGCCCCGGGGGGGCTCCTGCGACCCCCAAAACCAACCTGGGAGAGTGGGAATTGTCCCTGGGAATGGGATCAGCTTTAAGGTGCCTTCTCTCCCAAAGAGCTCCAGGATTCCATGAAAAGCGGGCGGGATCGCCCCTCCCGGGGAGCCGAATTCCCGGATCTGGGGGAAGAGGTTTCCCAAAAATCCCGAAATCTGTGGCTGAGAGAAGCCAGAGCCAAACCCTCGGCACCGACTGATCCCAACCCCGCATCCCGAGCCAGGAGGAAACAGCAGGAAAATCTCCTTTATCCATCCCACTGCCTGCTCCCAGCCGCTTCTCCAGCCCCGGGATCGCGTTCCCGGCAGTTCCAAAGGGATCCCTGAGCTCCTGGATGGATTTCTGGCCGTTCCCGAGGCTCCAGCGCCGCACGGGAGGGGAGGGAAGGAGATCCCTGGATGTGCCCCAAGGATGGGAATGCGGGATCGTCCTGCCCGGGGCTGTTCCCAGAGCTCCAGAGGGAGCCGGAGCAGCTCCTGATCAATCCCGGTTTATTCCACTCCGGTCCCCAGCTCCCTCCCGGCCCCAGGAAAACCGGGAAGCGACATGGAAATGTTTTTATCCTCGCTGTCCCTCGCCATCCTCAGCCGGCCTGCGGGCTCCCGGGGCTCCGGGCAGCGCCTCCTGCATCGCACCGGGATCTTCTCCCGGGAATTCGCTCCGGTTTTAGCTTCCCAAAGCAGCTCAGGGAAAGGGGGATGAGGGAAGGGCGAGGAGAGGAACGCAAAGCGATGTAAAGGAGATTTTCTCCTCAGGGTGGGAAAATCCCGGTTTGACCCCAGTTAATCCCTGCTATTCCAGCTTCTCCTGAAAGGTGGGAAAGGGAAAATGCTGCCCTCCATGGGATAAAAACCCTCGCAAATCCCAAAGCAGCGGCCTCCGGCTCCTTTCTAAGGGATCCCTGACACTCCTTTGTGGATAAACTGGAAACCGCGATGACCCAAAGGCTTTTGCCTTTTCCTGGAGGGAGGGGATGGGGCAGAGCCGATCCCGGGCAGAGCCGGCCCCGGGCAGGGGGCGATGCCGGTGACAAGGACAGAGCCGGGGATCCCCGGGGGTCCCCCACTGTCCCCCTACCCCAGTTCTTCCCCAGCCTGGGCTGCTCCTCCCGAGGGAGCGATCGGGACTTTGCCAGAGCCCGCTGAGTGGGGCTGGAGAGGGGATGGAGCGGGGATGGAGCGGGGATGGAGCGGGGATGGAGCAGGGATGGAACAGGGATGGAGCGGGGATGGAGCGGGGATGGAGCGGGGATGGAACAGGGATGGAACAGGGATGGAACAGGGGATGGAACAGGGGATGGAGCGGGGATGGAGCGGGGATGGAACAGGGATGGAACAGGGATGGAGCGGGGATGGAGCGGGGATGGAACAGGGATGGAACAGGGATGGAACAGGGATGGAGCGGGGATGGAACAGGGATGGAACAGGGATGGAACAGGGGATGGAGCGGGGATGGAGCGGGGATGGAGCAGGGATGGAACAGGGATGGAGCGGGGATGGAACAGGGGATGGAGCGGGGATGGA